CCCTGTGACGTGACAGACTCGGAGCGTGACCTGGTACTTCCGGCCAGCGTAACGGACCGTGCCCTGGAGCTCCTGGCCCAGCACCGGGAGATCAGCTTCCTGTTCTCTGTCAAGCAGGACGTGGGCGACTCCGGCACACTCATCGCTTTCTCCTCGCCCAACTCCAGGTCAGTGTGTGTGTGTTTGTTTATTTGTCTGTCTGTATGTTTGTTTGCTTTGTCTGTCTGTCTGTATGTTTGTTTGCTCTGTCTGTCTGTCTGTCTGTCTGTCTGTCTGTCTGTTTGTCTGTCAGGCAGACCGTGGGCGACTCCGGCACCCTCATCGCTTTCTCCTCGCCCAACTCCAGGTCAGTGTTGAGTGTGTGAGGCGGCTAGGGGAGGGGAGGGGGGGGGGGAAGGCTCACCTTGGAAACGCACCTGTATGGGTGGGGCTGTGTGTTTGTGTGTTGCTGTTGTGTGCTTTTGTGTGTTTGTTTGTGCGTGTGTCTGCTTGTCTACCTGTTTGTTTGTTTGTTTGTTTGTCTGTCTGTTTTGTTTGTTTGTTTGTGTGTGTCTGCCTGTCTACCTGTTTGTTTGTTTGTTTGTTTGTCTGTCTGTCTGTCTGCCTGCCTGCCTGTTTGTTTGTTTGTTAGGTTGTTTGTTTTTGTGTCTTTGTCTCTATCAAGCTGTATACTAGTGTATTAATACAATATGTATTTTTAAATAATATGTCGTATATCACCACAAATGTTTCATGGCTGAATAGGGATAGAGCAATAATGCGAAAAGCAGTTCAAGTATCTTGATGACGTCTCAAGTATCAAAGTGCATTTCAAAAACAGGAATTCTTAAAGCCGAGCTTGCTTTACGATTATTAGACAAAAACAAAATAGCAAACAAAAATCAAACTCACCTGGAAACTAAAAAAAACAAAATGATGGAACGAAACGTCAGTTGGTGACTCCATTCATCGACTTCCTGAAAAGTTCCATTGTTCTAACTTAAGACCGGAAGTCCGAGTCCTTTTGAAGTTAACTGGCAAAATATTGCTACGAAGCGAAAGCATCAAAACACGACTAGAAACTCGACTCCAATGAAAATGAAGTACTAATTGCAGGATTAATTCCGGGTTTATCTCTTCGGTCTGGAAACGGCCTCAAAACAGTTACCCTTTTCGTTGTTGTTGTTGTTTGTTGTTTTTTTTTGGGGGGGCGGTGGGGGAGGGGGTTGTTTTGTGTTCTGTTATGGCAAGCAATCCTTTCCCCTGACTGCTATTGATTTGTTTCGCTTCAAAGACAACGCGATGTGAAATCTTTGGTCTGGGATCAAAAGAGTCAGGGAGAAACGGGAGCGTGTAGAGTCAACATCCGCGCGTTACGCAAGGCTGCGACTTGTTTAGCTTGGAACCCGATCGGACCAGTTGCGCCGAGACTCCACCACCACCACCTCCTCCAATCTGGAGTTGTTCTCACTTTTGAAGCAAGCCGGTCGGTGTCGGCGAGGCCTGCCTGTCACTGAGGGGGTGGAGGCGGGAAAATTGATCACCACCACACGCAGCCCGGTAGCTATCTAGAATTATCGCCCTTGATGATGGAACAGCGGAAGGCGTCATTGAGTCGGCGCGCGCGCGAACCTACAATAGAGTTGACTTCCCCCCTTGCTTGTTGCGCTTATCCCGGGCCACAGAGAGCTGTTTGTAAATCATTTTCACTTCATCTAAACAGGCCCTGGATGTTTATCTCGTTACTTCCTACCCCCTGTCTTACCGTAGAGGAACAGAAGAATCAAATCTATCAGACGAAAAATACTCAACAGAAAGCCGTAAGGTATCAAAGATTAGTGTTAAGATTACATACCGCACTGTACGAAATGTTTTACACTTCTACCTTAACTGTTCAGATTATTCTGTATTCTGCGATATATTTTGAACCCGAATGTCCGCTGAAAATCAATTTAAAAAACCTTCCCTGATTGGAATCGAACTCTCAGCTTTTTGTTTGTTAGGCAAAGAAAGTAGATCTAGTCATTTTACCATAGACGCTGATAATTTATACATAAATATAAGTATTCTCCCAAGTGCTTCTAGCAGGCAGGAATCATCAAGACATTCACGTATATAATATAACATGATACAAGGTATACCAATCAATAACAACAACCTATTCATGGTGTGCACAAGGCAAGAACGATAAATCTACACATCCTCACGGGGATGTGTAGTCGATTACTCAATTAATCATGACATCAGCTGACAACAAATTAAAAAAACAAACAATCAATGTTTTCACAGATATATTATCATGAAAACTGTACATGACAGTTATAATGGCAAAAGCTTCAAACACCAACCCGGTGCTGAGATTGATACAGTGTCCTAGTATACAAAACAGACAAAAAGTGCTCGATGAAAACGTAACCATACGGGACTCGAACTACACTCTTCTGTGTGCGACGGTGAAGCACCTAACTGGCACGAAACAGACCCAAGTAACACGGCACTGTGAAGACATTACGAGAGACGAGACTTTCGTGTTTAGTACCCACCCCCGTCAGAACTAAGACCTGAGCATGGAAATTTTATCGATCTCCCCGTACGTTCCATATAAAAAAGACGTATTAGGCATTCGGACAAAGGTCATCCTCTTGGCTGTCTTGTATGATACCAATTGACCCCCCTCCCTTCCACACACACACACACACACACACACACACACACACACACACACACACACACACACACACACACACATACACACAAACACACACACACACACACTCACACACACACATACACACACACAAACACACACACGCACACACGCACACACGCACACACGCACAAACACACACACACACACACACACACACATACACACACACACACACACAAACAAACACACGCGTCCCCAGTTCTTTTGATTGATGAGCGAGCGGCGTTGTCTCAAAGGTCATCAGGTTAATCTTATAGTCTAATCTGTCAGAACGGCGTCGGATTATCAGCTTTTGCGGTTCGATATAATCCCTCAAAGACGGCTTGGCAGTGTTTCTTGCATGTTGTAGTATCCACGGGTACACGTTCCAGATCATGTCGAAGCCATCTTGCCCCAACTCTGTAGTAGGAATTTTGAAGAACAAAGACTGGTATTTTGGGGGTCATGGTACGATTTTTCTCTTTCTCATCATCTCGAATCCCATTTCATCTCCTCTCACTTTACCTATTTCTCATACTATCTTGGGGGGGCTCTCGTGGCCTAAAGGTTAAGGTGTTGGCCTCTCATTCAAAGGTCCTGGGTTCGAATTCGGGTAGCACCGAAAATTTTTCTTCTCTAAAATTGTCTCCTTTCACCTTCTTTCCTGCTCTCTAGCAATGTTCTGTTGTCTGCTTTCATTTCCACTTTCTGCCCCCACCCCCTCACCTCCTTTGCCCACACCTCTGGGCTCCTGACTCTTTCTGCAGCCTTTCTACTGCTACTCCTCGGCTCCTCCTTACTGCTGTCTTTCTGCCACACCCCTGATCTTTTTGTAGGAAAGATCTACACCTAGCCTTCTCGGACAAGGGCGAAAAATCTCGGAGGGCCCGTGTGCAAGTTGCGCACGTTAAAGATCCCTTAGTGATCTAAAATCGATAAGAGTAGACTTCGGCCGCCACCCGGGCAAAATTCAAAATGTCCTACCAACTGAAAATATTAGGTGTGTCCCGCGCGCTCATATGACCTTATGCAGTTGCGACCGCCGTAAAAAAAACTTTACAAAACAAACAATACTATCTTGTTCTATCTCACCTCTTGCTATGTAAACCAACGTCTGTGATGTAGAGGCCAGGCGTTTAGCTGTGACACGCACGAGGCCCGTGTTCAATTCCCAAAAAAGGGAGCACATTCATTTTATCGAGTATCTCAGTCTGTCTGCTCGGATGTATCATCACTCACTCCCTGTCAGGCTAAGGCTGCGTCTGGTGGAGACGGAAGCCTCCCGTCTCCATAACAGTCTAAATTGTGTCAATTGGGGCGTAAAACACCCACATTAACGATAATAATAAATCAGCGCATCCATTTGTTGTCCTGTCGTGTCCTCTCTCACCTCACATTGCGTGTGGGTGGTTGGCGAGTGCTCTGGTGTGGTTTGCTCCTTCTTTCCTATCAAACATCTATCGTCCTCATCCCCTCCCCCCTTTCTTTTTTATGTTTGTTACTCTCTTGTAATCCTCTATTCTTCTGGCGCTCATATGACCTTATGCAGTTGCGAGCGCCGTAAAACCTCTACTAAAACTAAAACATCACATTGCGTATGTTGTTGTCGTTCCAGATTTCTGGAGATCGAGAGCAGTGGTCGACGGAACGAGCTGCGCTTCCACTATAGCCACGACCAGCATGTCCGAGTAGAGACATTTCCCTACAGACTGGCGGACGGACTGTGGCACAAACTGGCCGTTACCCTCAGCGGCGACCACGTGTCTGTGTACGTCAACTGCAGCCGTATCTACCAGAGGGTCATTTTCCCGCCAGACCGAACGTCTCCTGGTTCCGGCTCGCCCCTGTCGCTCTACGTGGGCCAGAGGAATGGGCAGCACGCGCTGTTCAGGGTGAGTCGACAGATGCCAACGACACTAGCACAGCCACCACATACACCAACAACACAACCACCACATACACCAACAACAACACAACCACCACATACACCAACAACAACACAACCACAACTTCAACATACACCAACAACACCACCGCAACGCTGTCCAAGGTGGGTTGACTGGAGATTAAGTTAGACCAACGACATGGCGGCGAAAACTTAAGTGAATCAAAAGATGGCCCTAAAAGCGTTTACTGAAAACAGCTAACTTAAAACATCCACCTACCAAACTGGAAGGTACAAATCTCAAAGCCTTTTCATTTTGTTTGCAAAGAGATAAGTTCAAAACTTTGTTGACCTCCCAGAAACTCTAAATAGTAGGCGCTTACACTTCCCTCATTCATATTATGGACACAACCCTGTTGTGTGGCTTCATCCGCCGTACTTAGTTGATAAACCTCTCTGCTCTGTGTGCCAGTTGTTGCGCATATGGAAGGTAACCAATAAACAGGACATTAACCTTAGCTACATCTGCGCCTGTGACATAAATATGGAAATGATCAAAGTATCTGCTCTAGTCTCCTGTACTTGCACAACACAGGAATGTCTGTGAGAGTACATGTCCATCCATGTATCAGCGGAGGACGGACAGTTCTACTCTAAACGTCATCTGTTTCTGTAATGGACAGTCCCCACTCTACTGAACGGCGTATGTAGTGTAGCGTTTCGATACTTCTCTGTCGCACGCAGAACACCCGAGTTCGATTACCTTGTTGGGAGACCTTTTAATCGTGTATCTCAGTCTTTTTTCTGTGATGTTGTATCCCTCTCAGCCCGGGTTGAAATTAAGAAACTGAAATTTCTCTTCCCTCTCCACTCCACCCCTCTCCTTTTCTTTAGTCTAAGCCCATATCATGCCCCCTTACTTGGTCACTTTAAGAAAAAATTGTGAGTACGGGTTTGTTTGCCAGCAAGTTTACGGGTAAGTTTGTCTTCTGATTTTTAAGTGTCTTCAAATGAGAAAATCCTGAACACAGCGTGCTAACTGTGTCTTGCCAGCCGTTCAGACACGGCAGTTTAAAACTTGAGAGACATGTCTAATCGCTCTATTTATGACCGACATAGATCTAGTTCATCCTTCGTACATCGGCTACGCTTGTCACTTGTCACTTCACGCGGGGCGAAAGAAATCCTTCCAAGGTGATGATATTATAATTCTGGGTGCCTGTGTCCTGGGGGGCAATTCTGGACCCCTTTATCCATTTGTTTCTGAATGAAAACAGCTGAAAGGTTTTCCCCTCTCTTACCTAAACTTTGAAACGCCCATGCGATGTTCCCCACCAGCTCCGAAGGGCAGTAAGATAGTGACCATGAAAAAGAGGATTACCACAAACAAAATATGGGAAGAAGACCAGAAATGAATGACTCTGTACCGACAGACCCAACCGGCTCAACAAAATCTCTCCTTTATGATAAGATGTATCTGTATGACAAGGCTTAGCCAACGGGGAAGAAACGTGCCCTTAAGGTTGAGAATCATTCACTCGAGTTTGAAAAGGATTGCTTTGGTCTATATTTATGTACGGACATTTGAAGTAGAGCGTTGCTTCGATGCTGGTCGCAGGAAGCTAACTGGCTATATTGTGTTATCCAGGAGATTAACTTCTTACGGATGTGAACGGACAAACAGCTTAGCAAGACTACACTTTGTCAATGGCTCTCGGGGCGGGGGGTTTCATTCATAGACGCTTAGAAAAAAGCTGGAGTGGAACAGAGTTTGGGACAGCCTCTTTTCTGAGCTTCCTTTGCTCTCTGTCAGTGTGTGTGTCTATTTGTTGGCCTGTCTGTTTGTCTGTTTGTTTGTCTTTGTATCTGCCTCCCTTTATCTCCTCCCTTGGTCCATACTCTCTCTCTCTCTCTCTCTCTCTCTCTCTCTCTCTCTCTCTCTCTCTCATATACACACGCACATACACTCTCACTCTCTCCCTCTTTCTTTCTTTCTCTCTTTCTCTTTTTCCCCGAAAGGGCCCCGGGGGGGGGGGGGGGTAAACAAGAGTAGATAGAAAAGCTATAGGAAACAGGAAGTACTGACTTTATCTAATGTCCTCGTATCTTCCTTCCGTTGTCTCGACAGGGAGCGCTCCAAGACGTGAGGATCGTCACACAAGCCCATGGCTTCTTGTTACAGTGTCCAGACTCAGACACAGGTAAGAGCGAGCCCTCTGTCCCCAGAAACCGCACTCTCTCAGATCATTGATTTATTTTATTTTGGCAAGAGTTTTACGGTACTTTCAGTACTATTGAGTCATATAAGTGCCGGAGATTAGAGAAGAGGGTAACAAACACAGAAACGGCCGAGAGATCAGGACCTCAGTTGTTGGCTGGAAAGAAGGAGCAAACCACACCAGAGCACTTACCAAACTAACCCCCCCCCCAACCACTTCCCCATTCAGTTTACTGGATATCTTTAGCTCAGAAAAGGCCGTCGGGTCTCACTGGGCCCCTGCTTGATAATGGTAAAA